CAAGGACGGGAAGTTTCAAAAGCTATGAGTGGAGAGGGTTGGTGTTGCGCTGCCTTTTCGGTTTTCTCGCGGCAACTACAAGTGCCACAAATATGCAACACTTGTAGCAAAAAAATTGGGCAGCTGTAAATTTCTTTTGACGCAAAATAGAGATAGGACATTTGCTAGAGCTGTTTTTGTTCGTCTCAAAGTGCCTTAAATGATACCTCCTCCGATCCAAAACAAGTGTCGTGGTTTTAGTTTAAATTTAAACTCAAACCATGACACTTATGTCATGGTTTCGTGGTTTTAGTTTAAATTTGAACTAAAACCACGATATTTATTTTGGATAGAGGGAGTACTTTTTTGGGCACCGCCACTATTTTGGGGCATCTGTTGGTGATGCTCTAAACACACTAGTAGTATAGGCCATGTTTGGTTCACTACTGCAAAAATGATTAGCAGTGTCGGACACAAAAGTTCAATACACCCTAGAAACTGATACAAAAAAGACATCCTAGAAAACAATAATATCTCACTTTCTAAGTGGGATGTTTCGATTAGGATTCATTTTTGCACCAGCTTTTCAAAGAATTCGGGAGTAGGATTACTAAGATTTGAAGTCTCACAAGTAGCTATCGAACTATTCCATTGGAGCGAAACCGCTACGTGTTAGGGATGGAGAATGTTGCTCTTCGGACAAATGTCGGTCATCCGACTTCGATTGTCTTGTCCATATTCTTAGAAAATCAAACATAGATATACATATACAATGTTTGACTTACAATCCTTGAGTCGGGATGAGCGACATTTGTTGATGCGAACCCAAATAATAATAATTAGTCCCTTTAAGGTTCATCAAGTTTACGGAGGATCATCAATGTTGATGTAACCGTACAACAATAAATACCACATAAATTAGTAAGCAGTAGCTCCAATAATTAAATAGTACAAGCTACTATCATAGTTTCGACATCTCTACTAGCTACACTGCGACTCGAAGTGCAATTGCCACTCAATTACGATTTTGGTGTTAATCACAATACGATTTGCGAGAACTAATGTCGGTTGTCAAGTTTATCTCATGACATTGTCTTCTCTGTTGTGCCTACGAACATCAGTAGCCCCGTCGGTACAAAAAGGAAAAAAAGACGGTGTTCTTCGGCGTCTCGGAAATTTTTTCAGTTTCTTTTTGAGTCCTAGGAACATCCGTACTATTAAGAGGACTTGCTGCGATTTCGGAGCTGTGGAACCCAAAACTTTCCAGTACAATTTTCTCCCATCCAGTTTGTTTTTGTCGGAAGAGGAAGTCATCGAAAACGTGCACCCATCCAGTGGACCGGGTTCGTGGAGGCACCAAAGAGGGTGGTGGACACTTCGACCTTGTCCGGTCCTGTGGGGCCCCAGGGTCACCCGGGAGGCGGTGGCCGGCCTTGGCCTAGACCGGGTGCCTGAGGCCCAAGGGCCCAAGTGTTCGGGGTCACCCGCACCACTCTGCCCCCCGGGTGTCTGGCCCTCCCTGCGCTGCTGCTCCTGTTTTGTCCAGGCGCCCGTGGGGTACGAGTGCCTGGGGTTGCAGCCGTGCAACCGTCACTTTTCCCATGGGGGTATAAATACCCCCTTCTTCCTCCTAACCCTAATCTATGCCTAAGCTTTGCTCTACCATTCCCAAACATAAAAAATCTTGAGAACTCCTTGCCCAACCACCCAAACTCCACAATACCTTGGGGATAGGAGGAGATTCACCCAATCTACACTTCCACCAAACCGTTTTGCTTCCCGGGCTTCTACATCAACATCAACTTGTTACTCTTGGGTGTTTGGACACCCTAGACGGTATAGGTCACCGCGGAGCCATGCTACTTATGAGCTGCGTTGGGATTTCCCCGAAGAGAAAATGATGATGCAATACAGTATAGATAATTATTTCCCTTAGTTAAGAACCAAGATTATCAATCCAGTAGGAGAACCACGCAACACCTCATTAGCAGTACCTACACACAAAATAACAAATACTTGTACCCAACGCAAACAAGGGGTTGTCAATCCTTGGCGGTTAATTGCAAGGATCAAATCTCGTAGTGATAGATAGATAAAAAACACAAAATAAAATAAAGTAAATAAAATTGTAGCAAAGTATTTTTGGATTTTAATATATGATAAAAATAGATCTAAGGGCCATAGTTTTGACTAGAGGCTTCTCTCTTGAAAATAGCATACGGTGGGTAAATAAATTATTATTGGGCAATTGATAGAAAAGCGAATAAACATGACGATATCCAAGGAAATGATCATGTATATAGGCATCACATCCGAGACAAGTAGACCATCTCCTACCTGCATCTACTACAATTACTCAACACATCGACCGCTATCCAGGATGCATCTAGAGTATTAAGTTCATAAAGAACGGTGCAACGCCTTAAGCAAGATGACATGATGTAGACAAAGTAAACTCAAGCAACATGAATAAACCCCATCGTTTTACCCTTAATGGCA